TCAATCTAACAACATTATCTTAAATAGATGATGTTTTAAAAATTTTCTAAATTAAAAATTTCCTTTACTTATGTCTGTAGATTTCCAGATATCCCTCTTTTAGACTTTATTTCAAAGTTAAAATTATTTTTAGGTTGTAAAATTTTTTTAGTATATTATAGTTTAATTGGAATAAGTAGCTTTTTACTTGTGCTCATAATGTACGATAAGTGGAAAGTAAGATAGTAATTAGCAGTTACGTAATAGAAACTGCATTATATTTAATGCTTAAAATTAGTAATTGTTATAAAATTTGGAATGCTTTACATCAAAACATGTTTGCTTGGCTCCGAGGTAAATGCTCCGACATTGTATTTATACTTAAGTAATAAGTTTGGAATTTAGATTCGTAACATATTAGTTGCATTCTATAGTTTTAGGAACTTTCAATGAAGATTGAAATGCTAATAACAGCTTCAAATTTTAATAGAATTTTGTTATAGGAATCAAATTTTTTTCTTTATAAAGAAATAATTTTGTAAATTTTGTATTGCCAGCTTTCGTTGGAAAATACAGGAAGTAAACATTTGAGATATGAGTATATGTGAATATGTAAACTAAACATTTTATGTATGATTACTTTAAAAAACAACAAAACTACATACTATAATTTTTTTGAAGACAATTCAAATTGTTAACTAAATAGAAGTGATGATTAATCTTTTTAGTCTGATGATTCTTTTTAAACTAATTTTCGAGTTCGTTTTAGTGACTGTGAATTATTGAAAATTATTATAATCTATTAATATTAAGTTGCGAACAATGTTAATCAGAAACCTATACATGACAAATCTATTACTTTATAATACGATTTTCGAAAATTAATATATTTCATTTTTATTTGTATTATATATGTTTTATTTTGCTTTTTGATTTTAATATTTTTCGCTATTAAGTTGATATTGTTATTTTAATGTTAAACTCCATTTTTAATTTTGAAGAAATGTTTTCATAAAAATAAATAATTTAATTGTTTGGTAACTCTATGATGAAACTTTGTCATATTTCTATTTTCTATTTTCTATATTTTTTAGCTCTTGTAATCAGTTTAGCTTGTTTTATATTTTAAAACTTCACATTCACCACTCCAAATCACACCACTCAACCCACCAAAGCAAAGCTCGCTCACATATTAAACACAAATGCTAAAAGCTCTCATACTCTTGCAAAACACACCACTGAGCAACCGGCATTTTTTTATTTTTAATATATTTCCTTTTGTAAAATATGCGAGTTGTTGTCCTGCGCCCATACCACCATTTTTATTTTCGCTCATACTTGAGTCAAATGCTTGAAAGGTTTTTTACTTTCTTCTTTAAGCTTTGAGTTTTCCCGTATTTGACTTTGTAGGCGAATGTCCTTGAATGATACGTAGGGTAAGATTCTCTCAAATGGACTGCCTGCATGCTTGCTTGCTTGACTGCCTGTTAGAGGTTAATGCCCCGACCTTGGTGTACACGACACAGTTAGGGGACAATATTGCTACAGGATACGAACGCGTTGATATGCTTTTTGGTTCAATGGCCTTTTCGGGAATCAAATTTATATTTAAATCTTTATTATTTGTATATATTTTATGATTCACTCGAACGGTGTTGCTGTGTGCGTGTTTCAGCATTACTGACTCTGTTTACACATGATACATCATTCGAAGTGTATGTGCGTATCTGTGTTTGTGGCTCGTATAAGTGATTAATGTTTGGAGATATTCTTAAAATTTTTGTTGTCCTTTTTTTCTGTGCCTTCATACATTTATTATTTTAACTTTTTTTTTGAATTTTTTTTATTTGAAGAACTGTAGCTTTTTTTTCTAAGTAAAAATATCCTTGGTAGCTGGCATCATTTTTCAGGTTACGTATTCGCCTTGGTATTTTGTCTACCATACCCGGCATCTGCTTTGTGTAATTTCACTCTTTTAGAGTCGAATTCAAACTGCTAATTAACATAAATTATGAGGATAATTTTATCTTTATTTACTTTTGTTGCTTTTATAGAATTTTTTGCAAAAATTATGAGTTCAATGAACTCTTGATTCGTTATGTCGTGTTAGCATGAAAATATGTTGAACTGTTAAACTGCGTTGTTGTTGCTATTTGCCAAATTAGCACGTTTACATTACCCGTTCTGTAATATATATGTGCTTTTGGTAACCGAAAACAAATTACAGAATATTTGTTGTTAATATTATTATTATGTTTGGGAAATTAGATCGTGGTGCAATCTATATATCTGTTTTGCGCCCTTTATAGGCATAGAGTATTTTTCCAAGTCCAACTTCCTTTATAAATGGTAGTTTGGCACCTACAATGTCTTCATTTGATATGATATGTGCGCTTAGGTACTTCTTTCGTTTACGCATCAGTGCCGGCAACACCCGTAGCACATGTTTTGAGGTCTCTCTTCTCTTCTCTTCTCTTCTCTTCTCTTCTCTTCTCTTCTCTTCTCTTCTCTTCTCTTCTCTTCTCTTCTCTTCTCTTCTCTTCTCTTCTCTTCTCTTCTCTTCTCTTCTCTTCTCTTCTCTTCTCTTCTCTTCTCTTCTCTTCTCTTCTCTTCTCTTCTCTTCTCTTCTCTTCTCTTCTCTTCTCTTCTCTTCTTTTCTCTTCTCTTCTCTTCTCTTCTCTAACGAAATTTGTTAGAGAAAGTTCCCAGTTTTGTAAGGTTATAGTTTAATCCACAGAGCCCTTTCAGAACTGCTGTTTCAGGTTGAAATTCTCTCTAAGCGATTTAGTTTCTGATATCACCGGTAGATTATCCTAGTGAAGCTTTCATTTCAAGCTATGTTGTTACTAAGCGTATAGCTTTAAATAAATGGATTATATATTTTTAACTAATTATTTATTAACTTCTTCATTAACATTTTCTCTATGCACTGACAATGGTATCCCTATTGCAACAGCCATGACTGCAATCAAACAAAAACATCTGCGCATAGGTAAGCAAAATTGTGTATTGAATTCTTGTCAGATCTCAAGATCGACTTGGTCCAAACAATATTAAGTACAGATAGTACGGACTCAGCACTACGCTACTGATGCTGTCCATTCACAGCATTCTAGGAAGATATGATATGAAACTGGGTCTACTCTATAATGACTTTTGTCAAAGTAATGGCTTTTTAAATAGGAGAATGAGCTTTTCGGCGTTGTTCATACGCTGACCTTTAGTGCGCGTATGAACTAATCTAAACGCTAATCTGTGGTATCTCAACAATCCATTATTTGAGCTTCAATGTGCTTTGTACACAAAGTCCGCACTCCAACCTAACCTAACCTAATTAAAGTTTTCAGCATTTTCTACATGTTTCTTTTTAAAAACTTGTTATGGAAACTTATTTAAACTTAACAGAAAACATATTCCTTAGTTTGCTACCTGATAAAGTAAATACCTTCAACGCAATATAATGTACATATATACCAGAATCAATGCTATTAAATTTATTATTGATTTTTTGCGTTAATATTTTTTAATATGATTATAATAAGACACGATCACTTATAAAAATAAATATACATAAAAATAGAATGGTTAAAAAACTAAATCACTTTAAGTCATTTATTCTTACTTGACTGGATCTAAAGGTCTGGAGATAGTCTCCAGTTATTTTTTTTATCAGAAGCGGCTTTAAATTTGGCAAACATGTGTTGAAGTCAAGGAAATAACTGGAGGTTTTTTCATTGCAAAATCTAAGTATCGCAGCAAATCTAAATTCAACTTATAATTCACTTCGATGCAGTAGCTTTCGCCCACTTGTAGAAAACAAGATAATCTCCGAAAAACTTTTCATTCGAACACACACTTCATTTTATATAAATTTGAATCTAATTTAATTAATAATTTAATTTATATTTTATAAAAATGTTTTATAAAATTATTTTATAAAAACGTAGTATAATTACGGGCTTCACCATTTGCAATTAACGTTTTTATATTTATCTCTGTCGTTTGCATTAAAATTTCAACTCCAAACCATACGCCAATAGCCGGAGCTTTTTTAAATATTTCTTAACCCTCTAAATACCATGCTTCACTTAAGACTTGTCACATTTAGTTCAAACAAATAAAAGAGATCTATTCAAAAAAATATTTATGAAAACGAATGTAAATCATTAAAATAAAACGAATTTAAAAATTGACTTTAATTAAATATATAAATTAAACTCATAATTCTTATATGACTCATAATAACTTATTCTGTTAACTTCTTTAAATTTTTTTACTTTAAATTTCTGTATAACTTAAACTTTAAGGGTACCAATATAAGTGGATAAAAAATTCTGCGGATTCCTAAAAGTGAGATCTTTTTATAAATAAATGTTTTTTTTGAACATAATCGCATTTTATACTTTCTTCTAAGCATATGGTTTGGAACAACTTATTAACTAATAATAACTTATTAGATTAGCTTAGGGAAGAAGATTAGGGAAGAAGATACTCGTATAGTTGATATGAAATTTATAAAATAAATGTCTAACATGATTAAACGGCGAAGCCGTTTCCTATTGTTTGTTACAGTTTGGATAACACCCATTTAAGTGAATATTAGTTTTCTAATACGGTTACCTAACCGATAGAGACCCATTGAGAATCCCACTATAAGACTAATAACTCAGTATAGTATCTCAATGATGACCAATAAATTATTTATTTTACCTTATACATTGTAATACTAAGTATGACACATTTTAATAAACAATTTATATGTATTTCTTATTAATTGTAAATCTTACTAGATTTAGAAAAAGATCTGGTACTAACAGAGGCCGCAATTCAGTGTTCTTTCCTTATTAAACCTTTCAATTTTAATTTTGTTTACTAATGTTTCGAAGTAACTTTTCAAAGCTTAATGTAAACCGTGAGTTCAGTAAAGGGTTAATCTTTGCAAAAAGCTTTTCTGAAGTCTCACCAAGTAAACAGTAAATCAGTAAACATTCCAGTTGCTTCTCTGTTTAGAATTAAAGATCATTAAAAGCAGTATTTATAATAAAAAAAATTTCCATATTTAATGATACTTATGAAACATATAATGTTGTGTTGTGGGAATATTAAACAAGATAAACTAAATTAGAATTAGTCTAGTCTAATTAGTAGTCAACTTAAATCTAATAAACGAGATTTTTGCATAAATCAACAACAGCAAAAAACAAAGCAAACCGGTGCTGTGCTTATCACTGAGTTTGCTGAGGGCAGCTATGGCAAGTGTGGGGCGTGTGTCGTACCTAACTAGCAAATTATATACACAGTACTTGGGCAGAAGCAACACAGGCAGGTTATCAGCACTTGGAAAAGCAAATACAACGAATTTTGCAAATCTTCTAGTCTCGCAATTTAATAAAATTTCTTTTGCTAATATGTCATATTCTTCCATGGAAATCTCGAAGCCGATACTTTATTCGTATTGGCGTAGCTCGTGCTCATGGCGTGTGCGGATCGCATTAAATCTGAAGGAGATACCATACGACATTAAACCCATTAGCCTCATTAAGTCTGGCGGTGAACAACATTGCAATGAATACCGCGAAGTCAATCCAATGGAACAGGTGCCCGCATTACAAATTGGTCAGTTTATTGCTAATAACTTAATAACTTAATTAAAAGTTTATATAAATGCAGGAAAATTTAATTGTTTACTATATTTCAGATGGACACACACTTATCGAATCAGTGGCTATTATGCACTATCTAGAAGAGACACGTCCACAACGTCCACTTCTACCACAAGATGTACATAAACGCGCTAAAGTGCGTGAGATCTGTGAGATTATCTGTTCGGGCATACAGCCATTGCAAAATTTGATTGTTCTCATACATGTAGGCGAGGAGAAAAAGAAGGAATGGGCTCAGCACTGGATAACACGTGGTTTTCGTGCTGTTGAGAAAGTCCTTTCCACTTCAGCCGGCAAATACTGTGTAGGCGATGAGATTTCAATGGCTGATTGCTGCCTTGTACCACAGGTTTTCAACGCAAGAAGGTTAGCTTCCACCCACCTAAATATAAACTTAACAGCTTTAGTTTTTATTAGATTCATATTTTTTATGCAATATCAACTCACACACGTCGTGACTGAACTTATATAGTACTGGCATTTGCTTTGTTCTATTTTCTTAAATAATATTCGTCTTTGCCACATCACTAATATTTTTTCTATTTTCAGATTTCACGTTGATCTTCGCCCTTATCCAATCATTTTGCGCATAGATCGGGAACTGGAGAGTAACCCTGCATTCCGTGCTGCTCATCCCTCCAACCAACCGGACTGCCCCCCGGAACTGCCAAACAAATAGAATTTTCCGTCAACAACTGCAAAACGACGCAAGACGAAAAAATAGTTGCAGTTAAAAACGAAGTACCAAAAAAAATCCAAAACAATGATTTTAATGAATAGGAACAAAATGAGATGAAATTTTGAGATGAAAATATGATAAAGATAAAAGATTAATTTAATTATAAAACTATAAAAAATAAAATATAAAACAAAACAGTTGATGTGATGCAGTTGCAAACGTAATTTAAACATTTAAAATTAAAATTAAAAAAAAAATACAAATTTTTTGATTCGAAAATAAAAATAAAAAATTTTGGCTTTATAAGCAACATTTTTCAAAAATTAAGAATTTTATAAATAAAATACCTTTGGCTAAAATTGTGAAAAATATCTTAAAGATATAAATTAAAAATTATCTATTTATAATTTTACTTGTTTTTCATATAAGAAAAAATAATAAAAATAAAAAACGAGATTAACAAAGCAAAGAAAATTTTACGAAAAGCAAAATTCAATTCAGGGATTTTTAAATAAAAATAAAGTTGAAATAATTTTAAAAATAATGACTTCAATAATTTAAGGAAATCTTATTAAGCAAACTAGTACAAAAACATCAACAAATTTTTAATGAACATATAAAACATAAAGTGAAAGTTTAAAATTAAATAAATACAGCATATAAAGATGCAGCTTATTAATTGTTTAAAAATAAAAATATGTTGTATTTAATATATATAGTGCAGGTTTTTTCTGATATATACGATAGTTGCATATGACATCACTTCGAAAACAATGGGTGTGAATTTGCTGCTTACAGGCTAGAATACAAAATATTTCTCCAACAATAAAAAATAATATAAAAACAATATAAATGCACTAAATTATTTTAATTATTTTTTGTATTTCATAAGTTTTATTATTATTATTTTTTTTTTAATACACAAAAACGATAAAATAAGTAAAACAATATGCACAAAAATTTTAATGAAATATATGATTACAAAATATTATTATAAAATTGATTATATACTATATAGTATGTTATATTATATAATATATAGTATATGATTTAATTATATTATTATTATCAAATTTGTTTTATAATTTCAAATACAGATATAAACTTAAAAACTCCACATTTTTTAAAATCAATTTCCGTAGTTTGAATATTAATAATTTTTTAACGGTACAAAAACGCAAAGCCTCGCTATAAAAAAAAAGGACTTCAGGTCAAAGTGCTAAATTAACACCGAATAAACTGAACGGGTTAATAATTATTTACAAGCGATACCTATCTTTTAACCTAATGTCTGTACTAAAAGGATCTGAATAAGATACGAGTCAAAAATACATATAAAACTACTAGATATATATGCATATAAAATAGGTACACATATGAGTATAAACAATCTACATCATACCTATTTTCATTTGAAAGTATAAGATTTTTATAATATATTTTTACATTAACTTAGCATTATTTACTAAGATATTTCCGATCACAAGAAACTGAAGTCCTTTAAACTAGAGACTTTGAGTGGCAAAATGCAAATGAAATCTTTTGAAACGAATTCAATTTTAATACAGACAATGTTTTTTCCTTAATAATTATAACAAAAACAAAAAAAAAACAAATTAAAATGTGTAAGAAACTCAAAAGTTCAATAAAAATAAAAATTAAAAATTACAACAAAATTTAAAACTTTTTTTTTTTCATAAATAAGCAAATAATATTTAATAAATGTAAGAGAGCTGCTGAAATACTTTATGAGTGAGTCGTTTTTATGTAGTTTTTAGGGTGCATAATAGATCAAGCTGGTCGCAGTTCATAGGGGCCTTAGCCTAACCCAAAACCTCCCATACCATTGACCATGTAGTTTTTAAGTAAAACTTAGAAATCTTACACTTTAATTTATTCTTTTGATATGTGGTAATATGATATGTTTCACATAAACTGTGGGCTTCATCCTCCATATTTTTAGCAACTATTAAAATAAGGTCATTGCATAAATTAAATTGGTTTAACGATCTCTCAACAGAATGGACACAGTTGCATAAAAGGCGCTATGCCTATTTTCTCCTGATATGCCTACATTACTCCTTTAATGCTGATTTATGGTAATCTTTTTCACTTATTTTCTATAATAAAAGTCCATAAATGCAAAATATTGAAAAAAGTAATTTTTACTCTCGGGGCTCTGTGTTAAGTTGATTCAATCACTATACCGACTAATAAAAGTAAAAGTAAAGTAAGAATAATATCAAAAACTGTTACGAGAATATAGTAATATATTAATATAGTTAAAGATTTTATGGATAAAATCGGCTCGCTAACGGATTGTTAAAGAAATTTGTTGAAGGAGGTCAGAGCCAGACATCGCTTATAGTGCTGCTGATGATGATGATGGTAATGATTATGATAATGATGATTATTGATGATGATTGATGAGTGATAAATGATGAATGATGATGATGATGAAAGTAAAACTAAACTAAATTGACGCAGCTGTGGAATCAAGAAACTAAAATATATATTACAAGTTGACGGCATGTATATAGATCCTAATAAGTGATGTTATGCTTTTAAGTTAAAATTCTCAATAGTTAAATTAAATCTATTGCACGTATTGGAATGTAAAACTTCCTCAGTAGATTTGATTAAATTCTATATTTGTTAATATAAGACAAGTTTTTAAAAGACATGCATTTGGTTATTCCTGTGGAAAGATATTGATCTTTGGTAATCGTCGCTAAGTGTGATATTCATTATTTACCATTATAGTGTAAGGTATTATGAATTAAATTATCTACTTCGATTTATTGTCAAAAACATACATAAAGTCGGTTGGAGTTTTTTTACATAAAACACACTCTTAAATATTAAATCATTACCTATTATAAGATTGTTATAAGATTGAGAATTTGCTGTAGAAATATGTTCACATACTCAGAATAGGTAGGGCTGAAAGGGCTTGTTAATAATCTTTTTGCATGAAATAATTAAAGCATTCTTTAGAACATCTTTTATGATTATGTTATGAATTGTCAGGAACACGCTTAAAATACTTAATAATATCTCCTTCAAAATATGCTCCTTCTGAAGCGATACACATATGCCAACGCCTAACCCAATCTTCCATATACTTTTTGTAGGCCCGTGAAGGTATGGCTTTTTGTTCCTTCAGCAAATTCTCTTTTACCGATTCAATCGACTCAAAACGCTTACCATGAAGGGGCAATTTGAGTTTCGGGAATAGAAAAAAGTTGCACGGATTCAGATCTGGCGAATATGGTACCTGAGCGATGACAGTGGTGCCGTGTTTGGTCAAAAATCGCGTACAAGAAGAATCGCTAAATGCATTAGAGGTAGTCTCACATTAGCAGCTGCTGTAAACAAACTAATTGACAGATGGCGCTCAAATTTGTACCATATGTCAAGAAAGGGTGTACCAACATAACAAAAAAGTTTTGAAAAAGGTCTATTACTTCAGGAGTAGTTAACAAACAACAAAATCCGGATACTTTTTGAGCAGAAGGTATATATATATATAAAGATCTTGTTACATCTGATATCATTAGTTATCATTAGATCAATATAACCTAAACTAACTGAATTGATAATACCATTAATATCATTAATCGCAAAAGATTACTCGACCATTGTAGAAGTAACATTTAACTCTTAGTGAGATAAGTGGTTCAAATAATGTTCATTTATATTGATCTCTGATAATACCTGTTATCAACCAGGGCAACTCTTTCCTCACCATATCTCCTTCTCTTTCTCGCTTTATGTTTCTCTCTCTGTACTCCGTACTCTATATATATATATATATATATATATCTTTCCCTCGCACCTGTGTTTTTATATATTTCTATCTCACAACACATTCTGTTTATTTGGCATCTTTTCTAATATTTTTTTCATTTATCCCTTGCGTAAAACAACAATTTTTATTTTTAATATTTTTTTCATTTTATTTATGTATATTAATTTATTTGAAATATATATGAATCATTTCATGATAATTTGTTTTTTTTCTTCTAATATTTAACAAAGTAAAATTTCTCTTAATGACTTATTATGTCTTCAACATTTCAATATATATTTTTACTCTCTTTTGTTCCTTGCTTCTTAAACGTTATGAATACATTTAAATTTTTGAATTCTCTTTTAATAATAATTTCATCAGCTTTACTTTACCTAAATTTAGCTAAAAATAAAACACAAAAATTGTGTTCATTACTTAACAGACACTTCTGAATTATTTCTTTTTTTTTTGTTTTTTGTTATTATTAATTTATTTATATGCATATTATTTTATTATTATGTAATTAGGAGAAAAATATTTTGGTTTGTTTTTTATTTAAATATGAGCTATGCTTTTTAATTGGAATTTTAAAATGTTTGTGAATGTTTTTTTTCTGTTCGTTATAATTTTATTTTTTTATGTTTGCAATACATAACATAATTAATATATATATATATATATTTATGTATGTATATATACTTTCTTTTGTTGTTTGGATTCAATGAACAAATTAAGTTTAAGAGTTAATGCTTTTATTTTTAATATTTTTAAGGGCAAAATTTCGCTATAGTTAAAATTTGTAGTATTAATTGTATTTGTTAAATAAAATATTCAATAAGAAAAAAATTTTCGCTAAAGTAATTTTCTTTATAAGTATATGCTTTAATCATAAATCGATTAATCGATAAATCGTAATTAATTTATTTTGTTATTATATGTAAAATTTCACATTTTCTTTTTATTTTAACTTAATAACGTTCGCTTAGAAAAAAATAAATATATTTAATCGTTGCCTATTTAATTTTTAATTTTTATATAAATTTTGTTTTTAAGGATTTTATTTAAAAATATAAAAACGTAAAGAATTTTATACTTTGTTTAAGTGCACATTTTTGTGTAACTAATTAAATTTAATTATTTTTCACGTTTTTTATGGTATTTATATTTTTATGTATATATTTTTTATATTGTAATTTATTTATAACATTTTTTAAATTTAAAAAATTTATTATTTTTAAATTCTATAATGAAAAGTAATTTAAATTTAAAATTAAAAAATATTGTATTCTTTTCAAATTTTTACTAAATTTTCATTCCTCTTGAGACTTTACATGTAGTCAAGACGGCTTTTGTTTCTTTTCTTTTCATTATTGTTTTTACTTTATTTATATTATATATACATATATATATAATG